TTATATGGAACTGAGGCCGGTTGTTTATACTATGATGCTACGGCTAACAAAAATTTACTACACTATAACAGAGTGGTTTGGCGTAGCGTACTAACTACGAAATTATATTGTGTTTACACTACAACGGTTTGGTTAGACGTAGTGTACTAACTACGAAATTATATTGTGTTTACACTATAACAGAGTGGTTCGACGTAGCGTACTAATTATGAAATTATATTGTGTTTACACTATAACAGAGTGGTTTGACGTAGTGTACTAACTACGAAATTATATTGTGTTTACACTATAACGGAGTGGTTCGACGTAGCGTACTAATTATGAAATTATATTGTGTTTACACTATAACGGAGTGGTTTGACGTAGCGTACTAACTACGAAATTATATTGTGTTTACACTATAACAGAGTGGTTTGACGTAGCGTACTAACTAGGAAATTATATTGTGTTTATACTATAACAGAGTGGTTTGACGTAGCGTACTAACTAGGAAATTATATTGTGTTTACACTATAACAGAGTGGTTTGACGTAGCGTACTAACTACGAAATTATATTGTGTTTATACTATAACGGAGTGGTTCGACGTAGCGTACTAATTATGAAATTATATTGTGTTTACACTATAACAGAGTGGTTTGCCGTAGCGTACTAACTACGGAAATCAATCTCGTTAAAAATTCACTACGTTTCTTAGTATTGTGTTTACACTACAACGGAGTGGTTTGCCGCAATGGGGGCTAATGGGAGGCAAATTCAAGTCCCAGATATAAAATCGTGCTCTCATTGGCTGATTTGAAACTCGTCACCAATGGGAACACAAATACACATCCGGGACTTGAATTTGCCCCCCAATAGCTGCGTTCCTTTTTTACTGAATTAAGATTACAATGCCTCCTCTAGTGTTATTTATAATCTCTATGGTAGACAGGCCCTAACTAGAAATGTCAGACTGCCGGGCATCTAGTACTTATTTAATATGCATAATATAAATCATTCGGGTTTTTAAATTTTCCCTACCAGTTTTGACTGCCTAGGGTTAGGGTTTGATTTATTTTCATAAAAATCTAACTTTAATTCTCATAGCAAATCCAGCTAGACACTTCGAAATTCGAATGTGAATAGCAAAATTTTACATTTGATATAAATGGACAAGTATTCAATAATCTGTGCTCTATCTTCGCAAAATACTGACAGAATAAAATTCGTTATTTATCATTGACAAGTAAACGCATTCCGTGCGCTAACTGTTGTAAAATGTGGGCGAAATTAAGCCGACGAGAGCACATAATAGCAGTTGAACGTGTGACATTAGTCACTGACCTGTTTTCATATAATTCGGCCATTAATGCCCAATCCCCGCTCAGCGGCTCATTCTCGCTTCGTTTCTGCGTTAAATATTCCTTTACGTCTTTCATTTCTGTTGTATATTGCTTTTCAAATCCTTTGTTTTCTTTTAAAAGCGACTTTTGAAACAATTTCTAAACCTTTTTTGTGCAATGTGCTGTGAACTTTTTCAAGATGGCGCCCGATACGAGCCTGCTTTCCTACAATCCAGCAGCCATTAATGCCCGTTCGCAGGCTAGAGCCATCCAGTGAGCTCGATATGCAACTGGAGTGAGATAAAAAAAAACTGAAGAGTGAAGCCAAGATTGGGCCATTTTTTGGCTGCGTGGTTAACCAGAGGTGGTTAACACGAAACTGCGAGGAGTACCCGCATACTCAGTTATTTAAAGAATAATACTAAGGTTTTATGAACTGATAACATGTTTAGCGATATTTCCCGTTACAAAAAAAAAACTGGAATTGGCTGAGGAAAATGGTGTTAAATTAAAGCTGTTTGAGCTGTCGGACGTCAATTTCTTTCAACTTTGCTCCACTTTTGTCGTAGGCCGAATGACTGAAGTTCGCGCTCCATATAAATATATAGAGGTCACTGGCTGGTGCTCGATACGAGCCTGCTTCCCTACAATCCAGCAGTCATCCGCAGTAGAACCAGTCCCTCCAAGGCGAGCGCGGTCATTAAATATTTTCCGCCATTTTTTAAAACCAAATTTAGATATTATTTATTTTATTTCAAAATAAAATATTTCGACGAAAAATTCGTTGTTTTGGAAACAATTTACAAGGTAAGCTGGTTATGTTGATTGTGAGGAAAGCTCGTTCTATAACTGACATAGTTTTTATTAATATATATCATCAAAATAGGCATTAATAATTCATAAACCAAAATTATTTCAGTTTAATACGTGTGTTGACAAAACAATTTGAGATATTTTATGACATTTTGTTACCTATAGAACTCTGTCAATCTCCATCTAAAGTACAGGAAATGGCATTTTAGAGACTCTAATTTTAATTATTTCCCTGGAGGGGGGCATGCCAGGCACATGCCTTCCCCTAAAATTAATGTCACCCGCCTTTGCGGGCACTAAGTATGCCCCCACTTTTAGAGTCGCCCCATGCATCTGTGATTATGGTAATTATGCATCAGTCAATTCTAGCATCGCCCATCCCCCCCCCCTCGGGCATTTGCACCTTTTTTTTTCCTTTAAGTTGACAATTCCCGGGGGTCAGGCAGGAAAAGCGTGGCAATGCCCCGCCCCCGGGCAAAAAAAAAGATGACAAATGTCCGGCCCCAGGGCACACAGACTCATTTATAGAATGTATTTTAGACCCCAAAACTTCCATAACATTATTAGCTTCCTCGTATAAAAGCTACAGCAGTCATCCCAAATTTTGAACATGAAAAATGTGCTCGTCAGTTCAGTGCCGAGTGCGGTCAGTATAATCTGCGGACTGCAGACTGCAGACCGGACTGGGTACAAAATGCAGACTGGGGGTATAAAATGCAGACTGAGGATAAAATGCAGACTGGGGGTGAATTAGGGATATTTTACAAATTCCCGCCAAGCCATAGTCACGTGATCGTTCTTGTTGATAATATTAATGTTGAAGCTAGTCACTTTCATCAAAATGGGCCACAGCGATGTAGAGGTATTGATATTATATGAATATTTATATTATTCTCATTCAACCGTAAAACTTGATAACTTTAACACATTTCTTTGCTTTTAATATTTGAACGTTTGGTTACGTTGCATTAGATCGGAACAATGAAATCTGGACGTTTTGAGTGTGAAATTTTAATGGTATTGGTATATATCGTGTCGACTGTCGACAAGCACTGAGTGCTGCACTCTACTCATATATGTTTCAAAACTCGGCAAACGCAAGCTTGCTATTGGTCTATATATGTATATGAACTTGAATTACAGGAGCGAAACGCTTGAAAATATGAAAAATTGCTAATACAAAACCATGTGCTTGACAGTCGACACGATATATACCATTACAATTTCACACTCAAAACGTCCAGATTTCATTGTTCCGATCTAATGCAACGTAACCAAACGTTCAAATATTAAACGTAAAGAAATGTGTTAAAATACAAAACAAGTGAAACTCCAAAAATCGATAACTATTATCGATTTATTACTGTTATCGATTTTTGGAGTGGACTTGTTTTGTATTTTATTAAAATACTCAGTGGTTCAAAAAATGTGTTAAAGTTATCAAGTTTTACGGTTGAATGAGAATAATATAAATATTCATATAATATCAATACCTCTACATCGCTCTCTTCGTCCATTTCGATTATGGCTTGGCAGGAATTTGTAAAATATCCCTAATTCACCCCCAGTCTGCATTTTATCCTCAGTCTGCATTTTATACCCCCAGTCTGCATTTTGTACCCAGTCCGGTCTGCAGTCTGCAGTCTGCAGATTATACTGACCGGTGCCGAGTGGTTAATATACAATAACGTAGCAAGATAAACAAGGATTGTACTATGAACTCTAGTGTTTTTATGCTAGATAATTAAACACAACTTTAATTAGCTTCTCATGTGCGATTGGTGTGATGTTTTGTGAATGAAAATATCGACAGAATCCTCGTAAGCATGCTAATACAAGCATATATGAGCGTGCTTATTAGACACCAAAATATGGGATTCTCTAATAGTGCAACATAGTGTAATTAATATGGTTGATTGCATGTTACGGCTAGATTTTGGGAGGTGGAAAATTTTAGGGACGGTGAAACGGTGTGGGTTGGGGGTTATGACTTGCCCCATTAAAACCTGTCTATGCATTTTCTTGCTACGATTTTCATCGGATAGATGTGAATTGTTGTGAACGAGTGGATCATGAGTTATGAATGTTTAGATGAGGATCGATGTACTCAGAATATTTATAACTTATTTAACCGTTTACATGCATCAGATGACTAAAATTGCACTAGAAATTGCTGCAAAAATAGCAAGTGTAAACTAGTCTTGATATATAATCAGGATTTTTGGGTATTTTACACTTGATAGAACTATAACGCTCGAACAACCTTCTACCCAGGGCTAGCCGCACAAGTACAGTACGTCACTGCCTTCAATTCGCGGCTAGCCCTGGTACGAGGTTGACTGTTGAAGAGAAGAATTCAGGGTCTGAAATGTATATTTTTTTCCCTGTATCCAACTGGGATACCAAAATGCAAAGTTTAGTATTGCCCTGAGAGTCTGGTATTCCATTTCTGGATACTGGTTACTGGTACCATAAGCATTATCAGGCCTTCAAATTAGTGCCCAAATTTTACATTTTGTCCAATCGATGCTAGTCAAATTTCCAATCTCAAAAATTGTTTAT